CATATTTATTCATAATTTATTTATAATTATTTTATTATTAATTTATAATTATTTTTTATTATAATTATTTGTTAGGGCGTTTAAGAAAGTTAATATGCAATCCCCATTAACTTATTCAACCTGGTTGTTCATGGGCTTCCCCGTCTCGCTGCTCTGCATTATTGCTCTGGCTTTCTGGCTGAAACTTGTGTTTCTTGGATGGAGGTTTGTTTGTTCGATCGTCTGTTTGTATGTTTTTTGTTTGTTTGTATGTCTGTTTGTATGTTTTTTGTTTGATTGGATGCTTGTTTGTTTGTTCGTTCGTTTGTTCGCTTGTATATATTCTTGTATGATACTCGTTCTTTCAATCAATTATCAATATTTCCCTCATATATTCATCTGTTTAAATATACATTTTTAAATTAATTCATTTGTTCTTTTATTTATTCATTTATTTGTTCATTCATTCATCCATTCATTCATTTGTTCGTTCGTTCATTCATTCATTTCCAAGGTCATTCACCTGTTCTAAAGATGAAGATTTCTCCAAGCAAGAGAGAGCTTTGAAAAAAATTATGAGGGCAGAGTATGAGAAACTCGGAAAGATTACGTAAGAATGAATGGATGAATGAATGAACGAACGAATGAATTAATGTGAATGATTGATCGAATGAAAGAACGAACGAACGAACGAACGTATGGACGAACGAATGAATGGACGAGGAAAATGATGTTATCACGTAAAAATTAAAAAAATTCTAAACGACTCTAAATTCTCATATCTACGTTTTAACCATGATTACAAAAATAACAACATTAATAATGATATTTATAATAATAATAGTTATAATTATAATTACAATTATAATTATAAGATTTGGCGAAATTTCAACGGCGGTTCTCTTACTGGTAATGGTTTTGCTATGGCTGACAAGAGATCCGGGGTTCATACCTGGCTATGCGAGCCTATTCAAAGACGGGTATAGTTATAACCATAATTATAATAATAATAATAATTATTATAGTTATTATTATTGGCATAATTATTTTTTATTATTAATGTTGCTGTTGTTGTTGTTGTTGTTGTTGTTGTCGACAGAGATGTTGTTGATTTACTGTTTTTAATGTCGTGGTTGAAAATAGAAAAAAAAGATTCATGATCGTCAGAGTCTTTGTTGACGTCATAATTATTATAATTATAATTATAATTATTATGATTATAAATATACAGTTACGTCACAGATGCCTCACCCGCCATTATCATCGTCGTCCTTCTCTTCATGTACCCAATGGAGAAACCAAGATGGCTGTGCATGAGGGCTAGGGATGGTAGGGAAAGATTTTTAAAAGTTTTTTTAATTTTGTATTTCTGAATCAATTGACGAAATCAATCATCAATTAACTAACCAATCAATCAACCAATCAATCAATCGAACCAACCAACCAACCAGCCTACCAACCCTCCAATCAATCAGCCAACCAATCAAATCAGCCAAACAATTCATTCCCCCAACCAATCAACCAGCCAACCAACCAGCCAACTATCCAGCCAACCAACCAGCCAACTAACCGACCAACCAACCAACCAACTAACCATTCAGCCAACCAACCAACCAACCAACCAACCCACCAAATAACCGACCACAAATTCAGAGCCAGCCCTGTCAGTACCTTCGTTATTGGATTGGCATACCGTAACGACAAAACTGCCATGGGGTCCCATTTTGCTTCTTGGTGGGGGGTACGCTATGGCCGAGGGCTGCGAGGTTTGTTTGCACGTGTGCCTATATATGTATGTGTGTATGTGCATGTATATTTGTACGTGTGTAAAAATGTCCGTACGTATGACTGTATAATTGTATGAATATATTTTTAAAATGTAAAGCGCTACATAACCAAAATATTTTTTGTGAAGTTACAGTTATTAAGCACTATAAAAATGACAATTTAGTTACATAGCGCTTAATTTTGATACTTTAAAATGTTTCTAAAATATATATTCTGACATCAGTATATAAGAAACCGTACATCCCCGATATCACACCACCCAGAGATCCGGATTAACAAAACTGATAGGGCAGCAGTTGAGTGGGATTGGGAGTTACGAGCCCTGGATCATCGCCCTTATCGTCACCACCATCATCACCTTTCTGACGGAAATCATGTCAAACACGGCCATCATCGCTCTATTCCTTCCAATTCTTGAAGCTATGGTTAGGAGGATGACGATGATGATGATGATGAATAGATGATGAATTGGTGATGATGATGATGGTGATTGCGTGGATACTGTTAATAATGATGATGATGTAAGGATGGTGATGGTGATTAAAATTGTAAACAACAACAACAGTCACGTGATATAAACCTCAACACAACAACAACTACAACAACAACAACAACAGTCATGTGATATAAACCTCAACACAACAACAACAACAACAACAACAGTCATGTGATATAAACCACAACAACAACAGTCACGTGATATAAACCTCAACACAACAACAACTACAACAACAATAACAGTCATGTGATATAAACCTCAACACAACAACAACAACAACAGTCATGTGATATAAACCACAACACAACAACAATAGTCACGCGATATAAACCTCAACCCGTTGTATCTGATGTTGCCGGCCGGATTGGCAGCTTCCTTCGCCTTCATGCTGCCCATAGCCACGCCCCCTAACGCTATCGTCTTTTCTTTCGGCCATCTCAAAGTACCGGATATGGTCAGTTGGAGTGCTGATAATGATGGTGGGGTAGTGGTGGTGATGGGGCGGTGGTGGTGATGATGAAGTGGTGGTAGTGGTGAAACCCGTGTATAAATATCTGATAAACTGTTTTGTAATCATCATCCTCACCATCACACACCGTCATCATCATCATTATCATCTTCACCATCCCGCATCCTCATCATCAACTTCACCCTCACACATCGTCATCATCATCATCTTCACCATCATTATCCCATTCCAGATGAAAATGGGATTCATAATGAACATTATTGGGATAGCAGTGGTCACAATGGCCATCAACACATGGGGGATTCCTCTCTTCAACCTCCATCAATCTCCATGGAATGCTACAATTTCATCAAATATAACCTCTGGTTAACAAAACTTTCTCTATTTTCCTATTCTCTCTCTTTCTCTTTTTTTATTTGTTTCTTTCTCTCTCTTTTCTTCTCTCTCTCCTCTCTCTCTATCTCTCTTTTTTCTTCCTTCTTTTCTTTAAATCAGCATCTTCTATTCGTATAGTGTTTTAGATATTTGATGGTTTAATCGCGATGACTTACGATAAAGAACAAAACAATTACCTTCACTCAACTCTCTTTATCTTCGTTTTCTATCTATCTATCCCTCTCCCCTCTCTCTCTCTATCTCTCTCTCTCTCTCTCTCTCTCTCTCTCTCTCTCTCTCTCTCTCTCTCTCTCTCTTGTTCTTCTTATATTAATTGATACATGCAACAATGATAATAATATTAATAATAATAATAATAATAATAATAATAATAATAATAATAATAATAACAATGACAATAGTAATTACGATGATAATGATTTGAATAAAATAATTTTTTTTGTGGGGTTTTTGATTTGTTTATAAACGTCAGTCACTATAATATTAAAAACAACAACAAAAACATTAACAACGATGTAAACAAATTATTAAAACCAAAAAATAATATAAAAAATTATAATTATAATTATGAGAAAGAAGAGAGAGAGAGAGAGAGAGAGAGAATGAGAAAAACCAAATGAAAGAGAGAAAGTGAGAAAGAAAGAGAGAGAGAGAGAGAGTTAACCTGATTGCAAAACAATGAAGTGAGTTTTTACCAAATATTTGCCGGGATTGTTTTTTTATCTTTAAGTACGTGTGTATGTTTGCATGTAACAAACACATACACATACACACATACATATAAATACGCACATGCATCCATGCATACATACAAACAAACATACATACTACATACATACAAACATACATACATACATACAATGCATGCATGCACACAAACTTTTCTGCATGCTGTATACAATAACATTAACCATGCATTACTAAGCAGAAACAACAATATCATCATCATCATCTTCACCATCATCTTCATCATCATTTTTGCGGGCTTTTTCTCTACATATATTTGTTCTTGCTTACAGAATTTTTCTTTCATTCTTTAGATAATATTTCGCTTTTTTTTTGTTGGTGATGTTGAATTTTTATTAACAATTTTATCTTAATTAGCATATGCACATATAATTAACGTAGTTAACATTATAATTAACCTAATTAACATTATAATTAATTAGTATTAATTAATATTATAATTGTTGTCATGTTAACTAATTATTTTGACTCTGAATGATTGATTGTTCGTTTGTTATCTATCAGATATCCCTTGTTAACATTTGTGGTCCTATCTATTTCTAGTTTTTGATAACTAAATAATTACAATAAAAATTATAATTAATAATAATTAATTAAATAAATAATTATAATAATGATTATAATTATATAATATGATAAGAATAATATATATAATCGTTTATTAAACTGAACACACGATTAGCAACGATCAAAATCGAAATATCAATATTACAATAATATAACAACACACACACATCACATCATTTTTATTATCTTCAACAAACCACTACCACCACCACCAACAACAACAACGATAGCAACAACAACTACATCAACAACAACAACGTCAACAACAATAACATCAATAACAACAACAACAGCAGCAGCAAAAATAGCAACAACAACTACATCAACAACAACAATAACATCAACAACAACAACTACAGCATCAACAATAACAACAACAGCAACAACAACAACAACAGCTACATCAACAACATCATAATGTCAATTATAAAAATTCCCATCTCCTACACCACCTCCATCGACAACAACGACTTCTACTACAACTACACCTACAAAAACGATGACGACGACGACAACAACTACCACTACTACAGCAGTTCGAATATCGAAGGCAGCGACACGCGCTATAAAAATGACCCGATGAACTATCCGATACCGACGAGCGTACCGGCGAATAACCGATACGTAAAGGGATGGCTGGATCCGTCTACCGCTAAAAAACCGACCGTGAAAGTGGCCAGGATGTTGACGCAGAATTATAAGGACATCAAGATGGTTTGTTGCTGTTGTTGTGGCTGTTGTTGTTGCAGTTGTTGTTTTTGTTGTTGTTACAGTTGTTGCAGCTGTTGTTGTTGTTGTGTGTTTGGTATCATCATAATCAACACCATCACCGCCATCATCATTATCATCATTATCATAACTACAACCAGCCTTCTGTCTTTTATTCAATTCAGTCCTGTCTTCAGAGCAAAATTCTCTGGGAGGATGACGCATTTCCGGCGAACGGCACATCCCTATTTCCGAAGTCCATGTACAGTGGGGACGGCAGGTTTCAGTGGAAGAGACCCGGGGTAGGCACTATAGCAATAATAACAATAATAATAATAATAGAAATAATAATAATTATAATAGAAATAATAATAATATAAGAAATAATAAATTTAAATTAGGAGCTATGCAACGACCCGCGCATGTTCGTCGACGGAGTAGACCGCTTTGACGTCACTCAGGGAGATTTAGGTGACTAGAGTCGTCGCTTCATTGTCGTCATCATCGTCATCATCGTCATCATCGTCATAGTCATCATCAGATTTTGTTAACAATGTTTGAAACTGCATCATTGATGATTAATGAAGTTCTTGTGTGTAATATCCACACGACAACAACAACAACAACAACAATAATAATAATAATAATTATAAATAATAATAATAAATAATAATAATAAATATTAATAATAATTAATTAATAAAAATAATCACAAGGTAACTGCTGGGTGCTGGCCGCGATTGCCAGCCTGTGCGCCACAAAGAACAGACCCATGTTCACCAAAGTTGTACCTGGAGATAACAAATTCTTCCCTAAAGACGAATACGCTGGTCGGTATTTATGGTCTTCTTCTTCTTTTCCTTCTTCTTCTTCTTCTTCTTTTTCTTCTTCTTTTTCTTCTTCTTCTTTTTCTTCTTTTTCTTCTTTTTCTTTTTCTTCTTCTTCTTATTATTATTATTATTATGGCCATATTCTTATTGTCGTTATTTTTACGGCCACAATCTTCTGACGAAAAAATTGCATTTATTACGACGGAAAATTTCAAATAACCATTTTACTATCCAGCAGTTTTCAAATTTGACTTTCATTCATTGGCTCCTCTGTCTGCAATGAATTGATCTTCAAATTCATTCCTTTGATTCGTTTTCATTCATTTTAAATTTTGAAAACCAGGGAGTTTTATCTTTATTGCTTTCATGGTTATCCAAGTTATATAGACACGTCACTGAACAATTATCATCGTTACTATCGCCACCACCACCACCACTACGACGACCACCACCACCACCACTACGACGACCACCACGACCACCATCGTCACTATCGTTATCAGGAATCTTCCACTTCAACATATGGCAATATGGAAAGTGGGTGGAGGTGGTGGTAGATGATAGGCTACCGACGGTAGATGGTCAACTGGCGTTCGTCCACTCGAAGACTCTGAATGAGTTCTGGCCAGCTTTGCTTGAGAAGGCATATGCCAAGTTTGTATATTGTTATTATTATTGTTGTTGTTGTTATTGTTATTAATGTTGTTGTTGTTATTGTTGTTTTGTTGTTATTATATTGTTATTGTATTAATGTTGTTAATATTGTTGTTGCTGTTTTTGTTGTTATTATATTGATATTGTTATTAATGTTGTTGTTGTTGTTATTGTTGTTGCTGTTGTTGTTGTTGTTGTTGATCCTGTTTTTCTGCGATCGTAATATTATTTCTGTTTGATTTGATTTTTTGTTGCTGATGCTGTCTGCCAGCTCCTTCTACCTCTCACTAATGTTATCATTTTTTCTTTGTTGCCGTCGTGGTTGTTACTGTTGTTGTTGGTGTTGTTGTTGTTGTTTTTGTTGTATTCCTATCAATTGTTGTTGTTGTTGTTGTATTCCTACCAATTGTTGCTGCTGTTGTTGTATTCCCATCCATTGTTGTTGTTATTATTTTGCGGTTATTTCTTCATTGTTTTTAACATTTTAAAGATAATTATCGAGGCTTGCTCTCAAATCTGATGCATGGATATATTATCTGATACATAGATATATTATCTGATACATAGATATATTATCTGATACATAGATATATCATCTGATACATGAATATATTATCTGATACATAGATATATTACTCTGTGTGGTCTTCTTTTATCTTTCATTTTTTAAGATATACTTGTTTGTTGTTGCCTTTTATATATATTCATTCATCATGATCGTCTGATAAACCTGATGTAAGTGTTATACAGTTAGCATTCAATGTGTGTGCTGGATTTATAACACACACACACACACACACACACACACACACACACACACACACACACACACACACACACACACGCAAACACACAAACAGAAAGAGAGAGAGAGAGAGAGAGAGAGAGAGAGATACAAACAAACATACATACACAGACACACGTGTATTAGATGTACTAATGTACTAGATTTAATTGTTCATGTTATTTATTAGATTCACATAAACAGACACAGACACACACACACACACACACACAAACATACATACACACACACACACACACGTAATAAAATAAGTTGGACACACACACACACACACACATAATAAAATAAGTTGGATATCCCGGATTCAGATTAAATGGATCGTACGAAGCCTTGCAAGGCGGAAGTGTTAGTGAATCAATGGAAGATTTCACTGGCGGTGTTGTTGAGACCTACCATTTTAGAAAAGAAGGGGTGTGCAAGTTGCGCTAATTCATGAAATAACAACTAATTTAAATTAAATCTCGTTTGTATCAACCATTCAAACTCGTATCATCTCGATTTTTTCAATCAAACATATAAATCTAATTTTTTTCAAACCAACCATTCAAATCTATTTTTAACTAACCAGTCAGAAAAATATTTCATTTTGATTAACCAATCAAAATTAAATCTCGTTTCAATAAACCAATCAAATCTCAATTTTTAAATGACCAATCAAAATCTTCGCAGCCAGAACTCTTCAAAAAGTTGTTCAACATCATGAAGCAAAGTTACGACAGGGACTCGCTGATGGGCTGTTCAATCGATCCAGAGGTTAGGCGCTACATAAATGAATAATTTATTATTTATTAACACTTATAATTATAATATTTATTAAATAATTGCACTCTTATGCCGCAGTTTCAGGGTTCGAAAGCAAGAAGAACCCAGCCTTTCATGTGCACGAGTGTATCATGCATTTATTTTTAGCTGTTAAAACTCTTAATTTTCAACCTTTCATTTTCTAAATTTGACCTCTGATCTTTGACTTCTTTTTCATCTTCTTCTCCTTTTTCTACTTTAACCTTCGACGCATGACCTTGAACTCTTGACCTTTTACAGATTACGAACGGAACGATAGAGGGGAGACTTCCGAATGGCCTCATAACTGGACACGCTTATAGCGTCACTGGCCTGAAAAAGGTCAATATAATAATAATAATAATAATAATAATAATAAAAATAATAATAATAATGATGATGATGATGATGACAGTGTGACGTAAAAGGGAGATACGTTGAATTGGTGAGAGTAAGAAACCCTTGGGGGAATGAAGTGGAGTGGAAAGGATCTTGGAGTGATAGGTAGGTGATGATGGTGATACATACAAACAAACAAACGAACACACACACATACATACATATATACATACATACATACACACATACAAACATACATACATACATACATACATACATACATAGATCAAGTGAATGGAAATCCTTATCTGAGAGTGAGAAAAAAAGTTTGGACCTTACATTTGAAGACGACGGAGAATTTTGGTAATTAGTCACCATCATCATTAATCATCATCATCGTCGTCGTTGTCATTATTATCAAAATAATGACGTCATAATCATCATCATCATCAATATTATCATCATCACTACCATTACTTAAATGCCATAGCCAAATCAATCTCCAGACCAGACTGTCGAAATCGTCAATTTTGTGACGTCATTTCCGTCGTTACTACCATCATCATCATCATCACCATTGCCAGGATGTCTCTAGAGGATTTCACCCAGCAGTTCACAAACCTCGACATTTGTATGGCCACCCCACCGCACGAGAACGAGCTCCAGGTCCCGGGTTCGATTACAAGGTCGACCAAGAGACACTGGGAGATGACGTCATTCGAGGGGAGCTGGAAGAGGGGCGTGAATGCCGGAGGGTGCAGAAATAATTTAGGTGGGTTGTGGGTGGTGAGGTTTTTATAAGATTTTCTTTCATTCATTTATTTATTTATTCAGTCATTCATTCAGTCTTTCGTTCGTTCGTTCGTATATTAGTTCATTTATTTAATCATTATTTAATATTTTTCTACTTCTTCATTCATTAATTCATTTAATCATTTATTCATTAAATCATTAATTCATTTATAAATTCATTCAATGATTCATTCATTAATTCATTCACTAACTTTTCCCTTCATCTTCCTGTCACAGAAACTTTCGCAACCAACCCGCAGTATCGCATCGAGGTTATCGACCCGGATGAGAATGATGACGATGATACAGGCTAGCCATCTACGTCATCATCATCATCATCATCATCATCATCATCATCATCATCATCATCTACGTCATCATCATCATCGTCATCATCGTCATCTACGTCATCTACGTCATCATCATCATCATCATCATCGCCACCGTTATCAGCACCTTCATCATCATCATCATTACCAGGAACCATAGTTGTGGCTCTGATGCAGAAGGAGAGGAGGAAGAAAATGATAACAGAGGGGTTGGAAATGCTAACGATTGGATATTACTTGTATAAGGTTGGAATTCATACAATAGTTTGTTCGTTCATTCATTCGTTCATTCATTCATTCAGTCATTCATTCATTCATTAATTCACAAATTCGTTCGTTCATTCACAAATTCGTTTTATCGTTCATTTCTTCGTGAACTCATTCGTTTGTTAATTATTATTATTATTATCAGCGAATTTTACCAATAAGCCATCACTCATTCATCCATCCATCCATCCATCCATTCATTCATCCATCCATCCATCTATCCGTCCATCCATCCATCTATTCATCCATCCATCCATCCATTTATAGATCCCTGAAAAGCAAACAGGCGTCCTAGACATTAATTTCTTCAAGTACAACCTCAGTACTTCCAAGTCGCCGGCCTTCAGTAACGTGCGTGAAATGGTTGGCCGTCACAAACTCAAACCCGGCATCTACGTCATCATCCCCACCACGTTCAACCCTAACCAAGATGGCGACTTCCTAATTAGAGTTTTTAGTGAGAAGAGTACTAAGTTATCGTTAGTACTGAACTTTTTATTTCGCGGGAGATTAGAGATGTGAGTGTGTGTGTGTGTCTGTGTGTGTGTGTGTCGCTGTGTGTGTCTGTGTGTGTGTGTTGTGTGTGTGTCGTGTGTATTTGTTTGTGTCTGTGTTTCATATGTGTGTGTGTGTGTGTGTTGTTGTTGTCGTTTTATTAATATGCTTCAACAACAAAATCACACCATAAACAACATCCGAACAATGACAATAACGTTTCCTATACATCAACAACAACAACAACATCAACAAAAACACAACATCATCAACAACAAGTACATCAACAACAACAACAACATCTACAGAGAGATAGATGAAAATACAAGTTTTGTTGGCAAGCCTGATAAAAAGGTTGTTCAGTGTATTGGTAAGATAATATGTGCAGTTTGTTGATGGATGGATGAATGAATGAATGAATGAATGAATGAATGAATGAATGAATGAATGAATGAATGAACGAATGAATGAATTGATGATTAATTCAATGAATTAATGATTGATTGATTGATTGATTGATTGAATAATTGAAAAAAAAAATAAAAAATTGCCCTAGAGATAGCGTGATGATGGACTGATTGACGGATTGACAATTACGGTAAGTGGATGAATAAGTCAACAAAGATAT